CTAGTACCTTCATGTGTGATTTCAAGAGTATACCAAATATCGTGCACAGTTTTGCAAATAGAAACATGATTAAATTTATTTTTGTCTAAGGCGCAAAACAAAGCATTCATAGCTTTCGCATTTAAAGAAAAAGTTTTCTTCTCCAAATCATTCCATTCGTTCATTGGAGTAGAAGATTTTTGAAAACCAAATTCGACTAAATTTTATAAATCGAGATTCAACGAAAGCAAGAAAACTCTCATTCGAGTTTTTCAATATGTGTAGTCCATCCCATTGAAAAAGGGAGGACGAATGAGAGAGTGACCCTCTTGAAAGCCGAAAAGAGTCATTTCTCTTTGGGTGTTAAACCAAATGAGAAAACGAGGCTCTGATACCAATTATTAGGAATGGGGTTGACACTAAGAGGGGGGGGGGGAGGGGTGAATTAGTGCAGGAACCAAAAATTCTTTCGTACGTTAAAAATCGATCTCGGAATATAGCTTGAAAGCATATGAAAAAACATAGTGGATGTAAAGCAAGTAAGGAGGTTTGCAGTTAAAGTAAATTGTACAAATAAAATGCAAACCAGATTTTTATAGTGGTTCGGTTGCCATGACCTACATCCATTCCGTCGATTCCTCTTCCATTAAGGCCACTGGCATCCACTATTGATCTTCCTTTAATAGGAGAAGATGAACCTCCTTCTTACACCCCTCTTCTCCTTTTCACAGGTTTAGGAGATAACCTTTATAAGCACTCACTCCTCCCTTGCAGAATTCTAAACTTAGAGTGGAGGAGGGAATTTCTAAAGAGATTGCAGCAGTGTTCTTCACTTTTAAACTCTTTATGCTTGTGTCTTTTAACCAGGAGAGGGGTATTTATAGGCTTCAAGTTGTTTCAAACTTGGAGCCTAAAAACATCTAATCTTGAGTTTTCCGAGCACGAGCGGTGCCACTGCCTGCGTTGTGCGGTACCACCGCCAATGTCAGTCTAACATTGACACTGCACTGGGCGGTACCACTGCCCAGTCTAGCGGTACCACCGCTTGGGGGGCTGTGTTGGGTGGTACCACCGCTTGGCACCCTACTAGGGGCGGTACAATTGCCCAGACTAGCGGTACCACCTCCTAACATAATCTCGAAGATTGTGCCATGACGGTATCACTTCTTGGAATACTTTTTGAGCCTCTCATTGGGCCCAACATAGTCTTTACATTGGCCTAGTTGGCCTCTAATTGGGTTAGCCCAAATCCAAACCCAATTACGTGCTAACTATGATTCCTAAAACATTTGCTAAGCTAAACAAGTCCCTATGTCTTGGTTTCTTTCGGTAAGCTTCCGACGATCTTTCGGTGATGTTCTGGCGGACTCCCGGCAAGCTCTTGGACTTCACGATGTTCTTCTTGGTGAGTTCCGATGAGCTTCTCTGGCAATCTCCGGGACTTCTTGGCAGAACTTCTAACGAATGTCTAGACTTCCCACGAACTCTCGAATTCCTAACGAAATCGCGTCCTTGACTCCGGGACTTCATTTTGCTTTATGCCTTACTATCGTAGTTAATCCTGCACATGTAAAACATACTTAAATCTAGACAATTAATACTAAACATTAATCATGTTGTTCGGCATGTCATTGGTCCTTCGATGCTTCGTCCGATTCTTCGGCGCATCGTTCTCTCTTGCGGCCTATTGTCCAATCGGCCAGTTGACTCCGCAACTCTGATATCCTTGGTGCAATATCCGCTCTTCTTGGCCCGATGCCCAAATCCATGGACTGAACCCTTTTATCAATACGTCGATCGATCCTCCGGCCTGACGTCCAATCTTCTAACATGTTTTTCTCCGGCACAACATGATTCTTCCTGTTTTAATTGTCTCATCACTAAAAACGTAGATCAAACCATAAATAATTATCAATTGATTTCATCGTAGATTCAATAGTTACAATAACAATTCTCTCGTAATTGGAGTAGGATGTCAACAAACTTGAGTCATAGAGGTTGTGTGATTAGCACAGTCCAAGTAGCAATTGATGTAAAAAAAAAAAGAGATCATTCTTAGATCCATTACTACATTCAAAAGATCGATGAGTCACACCCTATTTTTTTTTGTTGAATAACAATCGAGCCACGAATCGAGGAACGAAATATTCGTCTTTTTTGTGAGTTCCACCTAAGTCACGATTGGAGTTTATATTCAGCCCCTACTGGGCCCAATGACTAACTACTTCGTTGGTTTCGGGTCGATGAGCTTCGGCTACGCGGCCGGCGTGTCCCTCCCACAAGCGCTGCCACCCTACCTCCTCCTCCTCCTCGACCCATAGTCGGAGCACTATTTGCTACCCACCGCAGGCAGTTGTTGAAAGCAAAATGCCTAAAACCCCTAAGCGGAAGCGCGCTCTCTCGCCGATCCGATCCCTCGAAACCCTTAAGCCTTCCTCCGAGCAGTACCCGGACCTCCCATTCCCCACCCCGGAGCAATGCCGGGACGTCCGCGACGCCCTCCTCACCCACCACGGCTTCCCGGAGGAGTTCGCCAAGTACCGGAGATCCACCACTAGTCCACTGGGTGCGGAGACGGCCGTCGATGGAGTCGCTGGGGAAACAGTTCTTGATGGACTTGTGAGCACTCTATTGTCGCAGAACACCACCGAATCGAACTCGAGAAGGGCTTTTGAGTCCCTCAAATCCGCTTTCCCCACTTGGGAACACGTAAGCTATTTCCCTGCATCAGAGACTGTATTCTTTTTCTCTGTCTTCCAATGGGAGGTAGCTAATATTTCGTCATTGTTATATTCTCGATGGAAAGGTTCTTGCTGCGGAGTCGAAGCTCGTAGAGGATGCCATCAGATGTGGAGGCTTGGCTGCGACCAAGGCAGCGAGGATAAAGAGCATTCTGAGAGCATTGAAGGACAAGAGAGGGCAGATTTGCTTGGAATACTTGCGCCACCTGTCTGTTGACGAGGTCAAGACTGAGCTATCAATGTTTAAGGGAATAGGACCAAAAACGGTAACTTTATTTTGCCCATTCTTCTTCTTTTCCTTCTCGAGCTTATACTGTCTGTCGGAGGATTTTAAAAGCAATGATTTGGATTTAATGATGTTCTAGTTATTTTAGCTTGCTCCATCCTGTGTAGTTTCCTTTCTTTTCTTTGAGAAAGCTTAAAAAGGACATTTCTCCCCCTTGAAGATTAATTGTAACATTGTTGCCTTCTTTATTGCCGTCACATGTTGGTAAAGCTTATAATTCTTTCTTTTGGACTCTTTGGCATTGTAGAAGTACTTGGGCACATATCAGAATAAAATGATATCCAAAATGATGTCAAGATGTTATGTACCCAAAATTTCTTTTTCTCCTTTATGTAGGCAGCAGTCTTTGATGAGTCATCTTGATCTCAACTGCTTTTCTATAGTAGAATTTTTCTTCGAGATTTAGTTTTGTTCCTATATTTTAAAATCAAATGGTTAATCACTAATATGCGCCGGAAATTTTGTTCCAAGAAGTCTCAGCATATGTGCAGGAAAGTTCCTACAGTTATTTGGAAGTGGAGTCTGATTAATCACTAATGTGATCCTTGAGCATCCTTGCATAACCACCTCAAATTACAACTCTTCCTGCCAATGATGAATGGATCATCATCCTCCAAGCAAACCCTAGGGTTGGATCTATAAGAAAATCTTAAAGACTGGAAAGATGTGAAAATTGGAAAAATCATTTAATAAACTTTTTTTGCTAGGTTTCCCTAGAATGGTACAGTTGGAAAGTGGTGAACTTGTTCAATGAAACATAACCTAGATTTTCAGACGTGAACGGATTTTTCAGTTGACAGTTACTGGAAATTGTAATTTAAATGCATTCGATAGTTCTCACCTATTTATCAAAAAATACAGAAAATTTGGGAATCTGGGGATTTCAATGTCTTTAACTGACAAATTTTTGATTCATGTGTCACGGGGAGACATTTCTGACTTTGAGTTAATTTTTGCGTGCAGGTGAGAGACTCTTTTGGATTACTTTTGCAAGGTCAAACTTGAATTTTTAACTTCAATTGTATCTAGGAGCTGATAAGTGACAAGTAACTGTAATGAAGCAGCTAAATTACGGCATTCTCTTAGTTCGGGTCTGATTTATATTTTCAATCCAGTGGTCCCTTGCAAAAGTTTATTAGAACATTAGCAGAAATTTCTCAAATCAATGTCTTTACAATTATTGTTAATTTTTTTACAGTGATAAGTAACAATTTCTTTTTTTCTAATGCATGCCATAACTTTTAAATCAAAACAAAAGTTAGAAGTCAATTCTTTAACATAGGAGTACTTGATTCTCTGTTATATGTTATATTCATATGTTGCATAAATAACTGTGATAAGGCCATTATCTTTACTTCTAGCTATTGCTAGCAAATGGGATGCAACATTATAATTTGATACTTCTACATTTTGTGATTACTGCAACTTATTTTTTTTGAAATAAGGGCATTGTCTTTGCTTAAGAGTAATCAGCATATTCTATCTGTTCATGCATGGCTTCTACTGCTTTTTGTTGCATCCTATTGCATCGGTCTGCATGTCATCAAAGGTTGGGTGATTTACTTATTTATCAAACAATATAACTGTAGGTTATGAGTGTGAATAAATTCACCAGCAATTTGGCAGTTTTGTATTTTGAATATGTTCATTCAAGGTCCTGATTTGTTAATCATGTTTTTGATTAAGTTTTTGATGGCAGATAGCATGCGTCTTAATGTTCCATCTTCAGCGAGATGATTTCCCAGTGGACACTCATGTGAGTTCTTTTGAGTCATTTCAAATTCTTGTCAGCCAGGCATCACCTAGTATTGCATAACTGTGGTGGTTTCACAGGTCTATCGGATCACAAGGGACATTGGTTGGGTACCTATGAAAGCTGACAGGGAGCAGGCTTATCTTCATCTCAATAATAGAATACCTAATGACCTGAAGTTTGACCTAAATTGTCTTCTTGTAACTCATGGAAGACTTTGCCACAGATGTGCCATCAGGGGCGGTAGGCAGAAAACTTCACGTTCTTTCGCTTCTTGCCCTCTCGCTGAGTATCAGAAGAGTAGGAGAGTAAGCTAAGCATTTTTCAATTTGTATTCTCTCTGTTACATACCAGATGTTAGATTGGACTCCCGACTTATAGTTTGTCTAGGGAGCACTGGTAAGCGAGTCTCCCACCGGTTCGGGATCTAGGGATGGTTAATGTACATAGTCTTATTCCAAGTTGTCTACTTGCAAATGAAATATTCAATTCTGTAGAAAACTAAAGAAAAGCAGTTTTGCCCTTCACCTATTTGTTTTCGAGGAATATTGTCCAAAGAGACTTATTCTCCATCACAGAACAATAAGAAATAAAAATAGTTCCCTTCTATTAGAAGAATCACAATGCATCACTTTGACCTTGTCCTAGGACAGGTGATCTCCCAGATACTAGATTTCTGTAGTTCCTTGTTACCAAACAAAAGAGGAAACCTTTCTTAATCAAAACAATCAATCATGCATTGTTACACTGATTCATTTTGCTTTAGTTGTCTGCTAGTTCTGTCAGCTGGAATTTGCTAACAGTTGATGACCTGCTAGTCCAATAAGGATACCTGTTTAATAGGAAAACTTGGCTCAGTAGGATTCTTGCAAGCAAGCAGCAGATTTAAGGAAAGGCTAGCCTTTGTTAGATTTGATCTCACCATGTACTATTACTGCATTCAAAGTTATATTTTTAAGCAAATTTATTAGGATGGGATTTGTCAGGATAAAAGTGGTTGAAAGACAAAGCTGTCCTTTTCTTCAAAAAAGTCTCTTCAAGCTGAAATCAGAGTCTGGAAAGCAGTCATCAACTCAAATTCAGTGACTTGTCATCCAATGGTTTTGGTACTGAAGAAAATATGCTCAGATATTTTCAAGATTATACACTTGCTTGCTTATTTGTATTATAGAGGTTGGAAACTAACTTGTGTCATCCAATGCTTTTGGTACTAAAGAAAATATGCTCAGATATTATCAAGATCAATATTCACTTGCTTACATCACTATGCACTCATGACATCTCTTTTCTTTTCCTTTTCTCGGTTAAATTAGGTTGTGTGCCTCTAAAACACTCTCCTATTATCTGAAATCTCATATGATTTTGAAATCAGCAGCCATCTTGGATTCAAATAATCGACTTTGTGATCTTTTGTGCCAGGCAGCTTAAGTGTATAAGCTATTTAATCCTGCCATACTGGAAGAATGCTTCTAGATTCCCAGCATACTAATATTGTGGAACCCTACACATACATCTCTCCTTTTGACCATTTAAGCTTTAAGCTTGGATGCAAAAATTGTATTCATTGTCATATGGTGTTAATCTTGTGTTGGTGTTCCTGCGACTTACCTCAAGCGACTACATTTTGCGTTGTTTATCAATCTCAATGAACCCAATTGGTGACATGCTTTCTGTATCTAACATTTACTTTTCAATGTTCCCTCTGTCGTGAATCATTTATAAAAATTAGAAAAGTATTTATAAAAATCAGAAAACTATTATCAAAGTCACAAAAATGTACAATTCATGATTTAAATTTTGAAGTAAATTTAAAATTGGGTAATTCCTTGGAAAAACCATATATATTTGTGATGTTTGAGATTTTCTTGCATAGGCCTCCTTTTTTTTTTTTTGCTAACATAATCGTCCTCTTTTTGAATGGTTTAATAAATAACTAAAATTATTAATTCAAACTGTTTAAATCTATAGTTAATATTGATAAAGATAAATCATATTAAATTATATTTAAAGTAATATAAATAAAGTAATTATACAAAATGACATAAAAATAAACCTACTATTTTTTAAATAATATAAAAGACAAATTGTATTTTTTCATATAAAATATGTAAAATTATGAAATGAACCAAAAAATTATAAATATTAATAAAAATCTGATTATAATGACGTTAGGTAATATAATAATAATAATAATATTTTGAACAATGCCTAAATTGATAAAAATTAAAATGATCATGACAAAATAACAGAAACAGTAAATATTTCATAAATAATAGAATAAAATAAGCATTCAGATCATGATTTTAATAAACATATAGGATAATGCTATTAATTATATATTTTTAAGTAAAAACAATAAAATTTAGATATTAATCAAGGATAGTATCATTATTATAATGACTGGTCAAATAATAAAATAATAATATTTCGATCAATGTATAATAAATTAATATGGAATGGTATGAAAATAAATAATAATTTAAGCAATAGTTACATACATCGTAGTCATTTTAATATTTAAATTTTAGTGATTTGTTTCATAATATCTGATTTTCTTCAAATATAATAATAATAATTATTATATTTAGTATTTGTAATGAAATTAATGTTTTTATTTTTATTATTTTATAAATATTTTACTATAGTTTTAATTTTATATAATTATTTTATTGCTGATTAATTAAATATATAATTTAAGCATTATCTAAATTTTATAAATACCACAATATAAATTTAAATTGGTCGGAATTAATGGGTTTGAAAATTGATGAGTTGATCGTAATAGCTTAATTGGTGGAAAAAGTTCCCTTAACTCAACGAAAAAGGTAAAATAGATTTGGGCCAAACCAACAAAGGATGAAAGAAGAAAAAATTGATAGGAACAACAAAATTAGAAATTTAAAAATTAAGCCCCTAAATCCAAAAAAAAAAATTTGTAGCGAAAAACAAGACCAAAAACGTTTTCCGAATTTTGGATAGGATACGGATAAATTTTATTCTATCCACTATAACCGTGTCTACCTAAATTCAATAACAGAACCTTTATTTCATCCGCCATCATTCTTTATAAGAACAAAAAAGATAAAAGAAACATCTTATCCCTAATCTAAGCCTGAACGTTTTATTTTTATCCACCATAATTCTTGTCCAATGTAGTAAGTACTTACTCCGTAAAATTGAAAGCAAATCTATTTATAATTCATTTAAAATGTATCGAATTTTGATTCAACAGAGTCAGATAGACTCAAATATAAAATAAAGAATAATATTCGTGTCTGATTCCATCAGACCCATGTGACAACATCACCTTAGAACAATATGAGACAACATCACCTTAGAACATGCTTAAACCTGGGTTCTTTCACTTGAGTAATCGTCCCGTTGTTATCGTAATATAATGAGATTGGCTCCTTGCAACCCAGCACGATTCCCAAATCTGTGATGAACTTCTTCAACCATACTCCCTCCTGGATCAATTGTTGTCCATCTCCAATTTCGATCGAGAATATTGTGCGTGCGGTCAAACCATTAGATCTGACCACCGAGTTCGAGTCCAAAGGTTGGACCCAACCGGCTCTGGACGCTTCCCCAGAGAGGCGCTACATAAAGGGGTCGGGGGTGGTCTTTCATCGACGATACTCCGAACGCGATCAGAGAGCGATCCAAGGCAATCGCGTTTTGAGCCAAGGGATCCCCTCCCCGCGAAGCATCCTTCGGTTTCTTCCTCTACATCTATCTGCGTCTTTTTCTCTCTGCTAGATGTTCTGACATCAGGGAATTGGATTGGCAAGAACCCGATCTCAGGTACCCTTCTGTCCTCTTAGGGTTTCCGTGACGTCTTGATGGTTGGAGGTTCGTTGTTTTTGGTTTTATGTGAAGATTAGAGTTTTCGTGAACGTTTCCCTTTCTTTGATCACGTTGTTTTATTCTTTTGTTACTGAATTAGTGGCTTTGGATCTGCAAGAAAATGGCGACGGCAACCATGGCGACTGCTGCTGGCGCCGCTGCGCTTCTGTATTACACACTGAAGTGGAAACTACACGCCGGTCGATTTCAAGAGAATGGTCAAGGCGAACACGATCAGGATGCATCCAAACCTATTCTTTCTGGGAGGAATCGAGTCTCGCAGAGGCCTGCGCAGGCCCCTGCAACATGGTTAGAGACGATATCGACCTTGTCGGAGACCTTACGATTCACCTACTCCGAAACATTGGGGAAATGGCCTATTGGGGATCTGGCCTTTGGCATCAACTTTTTATTGAAGAGGCAGGTATAACATTGTCAAGCTTTTTTTTTTCTTCTTCTTTCTGAATGTTATTTCGTCTGAATTTCTAGATCACTGCCATGGCAGCATGAGGTTCTTGTTACTAAGGCCATTATGTACACTGGTGGGCTCTAGTTTAGTCACACAGTTTTTCAGTAGGGCTCATATACAGATTCCTTCACGACCCAGGCAACGATTGTGGTATAGAGAAAAATGTAGATTATTGTTGTTTGTGACGCTGATATGTAAATGTTGAGATGGATGTGTGAAGTTACTGGTAAAGATGAAAATAGAAATGTTTTCATTTGTGAACAATTAGATGCAGCTTTAATAGAGGGAGAATTGTTTAAGATGGTATAGATATGTGCTAAGGAGACTTATAGATGTTATAATTAGATGTAAAATGGTCATTATTTGTGGTGTGAGAAAAGTTAGAAGAAGACATAAAATGATTTTTTTTAATTATAATTAAAAGATTTAAATGTTTTTATTTTAACTAAGAATATAACGTTTTATAGAGCTCAATGCTAGTCAAAGATTAACGTAGTCGACCCAAATAATTGGGACATTATAGTTTTATTATTGTTGTATAGTTTTAGCTATTGTTGAAGCAAGGACATGCTATTGCCACAAAGCTCATGAATTGCATGCCAAATGCTGGAATGTGAAGGTTGCAACAATTAAATTAAGTAATTTATGATACCTTTATGGAGTATGACAAAAACATTGTTCCATTTGCAAATCGAATATGTAGGATGGAAGTTTTGACTACCTTTAGGCATAATTAGAGAATCAAGTTTTAGACCTGAATGATATTAGAGGACTATACGTTTGATCTTCTATAGGTAGGATAAAGTTCTGATATATAGTTATGGTTAAATAGATCACACCAAAAGTAAACTCATGGCGTAGAAAAATTATCTGCTAAGTTTGTGTAGAGCTATATCATTCAAGATTACGAATATTGAAAAAAATTAGTTTCTTAAAGATTCATTACATGTGGTGTCTTAATAAAATTTCCTTGTTGATTTTTTATTCTATGCATCTAGGACAGTATCATAACTTAAATCAGAGATAATAGCAAAGGGTTACATGGTGTTAAGGAAGAAACAAGGTTAGAGGGAAAAATCATTCTATGTTATTAGGTGAATAGGAGAGAGAAATATTATATTTTGAACTCTAATAAATTGAGAATTGTAAGAAATTAGGATTCCTTTGCTTTGAGAGAAGCCATTTG